AAAGATTTAATTTCCTTAGCATCAGATTGTTGACCCTAATCCTCAATTGTCTACCTTTACTTTCAACTGATGTAGACAAAAAGGTACCTAAAAGCTAAATCCGGCTTTCAGAATCTAAAAGCGGAATACATACTAGTGAGAAAAAAAAAAAAAAAACCAGTTGGATTTTGAACTGTGGCATCTATTTTTTAATCTTAAAAAAAAAGAAATACTGTTAAAATGGAAAACAACATTGAAGTCTCTGATCTCACTTTTCAAAGTACACCCACACTTTATAATGCTGGTTTTAATCCTATGCATTTGCAAAGCCTTTAGGCTAGGCTACGTGTTAACTGTATCATTTTCACTGTCAAATACTAATCAGTATATTAGTAAGCTAAAGGATGACACTGTTTGTTTATCCAGAAGCAAACGTAACTTTTCTCCAGTAACAAAGAAAAATAAACGGCTGGAGAAAGGAATACAATTTATGGGATTTAAAGCAGTAGTGTATGCAGAACATATCCTGGTGACATTTTGTTTTACTATAGATTGTTGAAGTGCAGCTCCTATAAATTTGCATACTGGAAATAAATTTACATACTAGGGCTTCATGCATTTTATATTACATTTTCCTGAATTAAATCCTGATAAAGAGATTGTGGGCAATTTCAAAATAAGCAGTACTTCTCCTGATAAAACTCCCCACAAAACTAGAATCAGAAGGGCATATTAATTTAATATAAGAAAACATTCTATTGCTGCATCTTTGAAATAAAAGCTAACAGTCCTGTCCCACTTCTGACAAACATACTCTACCATTTGTGCCTGTCAACTAAATAGGGCTAGGGGACACTACAGGACAGGACTAAGAAACTCATGAGGGGAATATAACTTAGTGGCAGAAAAACAATTAGGAAATTATAGTGTCAGTGGTTTTGAGTTGACAAATACTAAACTTAGGAAATTATCCAAATTCTCATTTTTTTTCTAAGGAATATTTAAGCAAAACTTAAATTGCTGCTTTAAATTCACTATAAAAGGACAAGTCCATTTTCACATTTGAAAAATTACTGGTGGGATTTTCTGTTGAATTACCCTTTTCCTTCTGCTCGTGTAAAACTAAGCGTTTAATGTAAATGCAACATTCTGCACTGTATTCATCATTTCTTATGAGAATGTCAAGATTGTGACTCATCTGTACCCTTTTATTACTTTACCAAAGTTAAATAAAATTGTGTGACTTTTGTAAACATTTATAAATTGCATTTTACATTTTTGCAACTTTCCTGTTTTACAAGCATCTTTAATGTTAGTTGAGGAATTCCAGTATAATAGCATTGTGCATTTTAAAAAAAAAAAAAAAAACCAAAAAAAAACCCCACACCAGAAAAAAACCCAAAAAACTGTATTTGCTATATTAGAAACTGGTGTTTCTATCAGGATTAGCCAGCAACACCTTTTTTTAAGTTCTGTTTTTAAAAGCCCCAGATGCCCCCATGCTTCATAATTCTGCAGTTCTACCCACATAACAGGGTGCCCTGACTTCAATCACTGTAAAGTCATTACTGCTGATTTCTTGCTTAACACAGAGGTGAATAATCCAGCCGGTGCAGTGTCAGTGTCTCCTTTACTTACTTTTATGTTTACTGTATTACTTTGGGCCCAATTCTGTCCTGATGATGTCAGCTGCTCTTTGATGTTAGCAGAAGTAGGTGGAAGCCCTATACTAAGGAGATAAAGGCATCCAAGACATCATTTGATATGTTACTTATTAAATTGCATTCCTTACCTGTAATAAGTAGTCTACATAAAGTAACTAATTTTCTCCTTGTTAGCCATGGTTCATCAACAATCTAACTCTTCCAAATCATAACCAGTCAGCAACCTGGTAAGAAGAGGAGCCCTAACCATGAGTTACCTGAAATGCATTGCACTGGTCACTATGTATGTTTTTCTTGATTTCTAGCTCATTTGCAACGATGGCAGTAGTTGGACAGACTGTTCCGCAGCAGCTCCGCCTATTCTGAGAGTAAACATGTATCACAACATTCAGCTCACAATACACAGTGGAGTTTTTTAGCTAATTTGCTTTCTTGGAAAGTGCTCAACCGAAAAAAAACAACACAAAACCCAAAAAATAAACAGACAAAAAAACCCACCAAAAAACCTAAGCCCCAAATAAAAACACCTTCCCCCCTGCATCTCAGGGGGTTCCCTGCTATTCCGAAAGATATGGAAAAGGAAGGTACAAACTGTTGGTAATCTAACATGTTAGACTGTAGAAGTTGAGTTTTCGTTAAAAAGAAACATGCTACACCCATCTTTAGAATTAAACTTTTTTATTTTTGCCATAGAAAGCTCTAAGAACTAATATCAAGTATTGATTAATGAAAAGTAGAACACAACTTTAAAAAGTATGTTAAGGAAAGACTGTACAACTATATACATTACAAATCTGGCAAAAATGATAGATGTTTCACGTGGAACAGTTCCTAGGCAATAGCTGTAGAACCCAATGTTCAATGTATACAGTTGTCAGCTTCTGCATCTTTTTATAAGCTGCATGCCTTAACAGTACAAAATAAATAAGCAGTCGATTGTTATCTCAATATTTGTTTAATTCACATACTGGAATGCTATGGTACGAATCCCCAAAAAAACATACAGTGAGGATGCAGCCACCATTATCATATTTTGCAGCAGATCCGTTAACGTTTTTATATGCATATAAATGACTGTGAGGTTTGCTACCATACTCTGTTGAAATTTTTAATTTTTATATAAATGCTTTTTCAGATTCAATCTTTTTCTTCCATTACCCCAAAGCCAATTTCTTAATATTTACATATGGTTTTTCATTAAGTTAAACTGGAAGCTAAGTGTTTACAAAAACAAACAAAAAACCGAATATAAGTGCAATAGCCAGAAATCTAAATATAAAAGCTCATGGCCCCATAAAAAGTTTTAAAAGAATGGATTTAACATGTTTCCAAACCAATAAATACTGGAAGTGAAATTAAAAAAATGCTTTACATGACCTCTGGACTTTGGATATCAAAAATCACTTCCAAGGAAAACTGAAGACCCTGAGACACATGCAAGCACGAGTCTTCTAGCAAAAATAGTTACAAAGCCCTAATTTTCCAGTTTTCCTCCAAAAAGAGACCTTTAGTAGGCACAGTTTAATTTAAGGTTTTAAATAGATCAGCAGCAAATATTGATAGCCATTATGTTTAATTATTACTGAATGTACACTTTGTAATGTATGTTTAATGTGTCATGTCAATAACAAAAATAACATTGTATTTTTCTTGTCAAAAAGTTCAGGAAGTCTCAATATAGCACGCAGCCAGCTACGTCAGAGCTTCCTGTGCTAATACAGGCAATCAATACTTATGTCTTGTGAGGACTATGTTTGACTGCTGAAACGCCATCTCAGGTAACATCCAACCTTAACATTTGAAAGCATACCCCATTATATTCAAAAGGGTCTGCAATATGATCTGAAATAACCACGTATATCATGTTCTTGGCCTACAAAACAGAAGTGCTGAGCATTACATGCAAAAGGTAAACAAATCCTCCTCTTTCTCCCATCGTTACTCATACAGATTTCTGGTACCCTTTTTTTATAGCTCAAGTTGTATTTGAACCATTTAAATGTTTTTCTGTCTAGAGTACTATATGTCTAAAACCTTAACCTTGAAGGTCATAGGATCAAGATGCTTACTTAAAACCTGAAAAAGAAAAGAAAAACCTTTAACTGTAATTTAAGCAATGAAAGATTACGATAACTAAGTAGTACTATGCACGACAATCTTTCTCAGTCATTTCTAGAACTTGAGCAGTTTTCATATTACCATTTACAAAAATTCAACAACTTACTAAATCTGAAATACTAAACTATGACTCCAGTAAACAGCTGTTTGTTTTTCTCAGATCTGCTGTTTCCTGTTCAAGTTGGACATCTAATTTATCTTCTAAGTGCCAAAACATGTACCAATTGCAAGGAGAAAAAAAGGACAATATAATAAACCCAAAAGTGAAAATAGATGACAACTAGACAACTGCAGAGAAATGATACTTTGGATTATGGTGGATGGAGGGTATTTTTTGATTGTTGGTTTAAGTCCTCATGCTTCCACACCCTATAAATGGGGGTAAAAAAAAATCCAAATCCCTGTTTTACTTAAAGATCTAGCGAAATAGGCATACAAGATCCTCAGCAGTCTCAGTGCTAAACTGATACAACACTTAGATTATTTCATAGTTTTGAGAAGTAAATTTCAAAGCCTTCAGTTAAAAAAAAAAGCCTTACTTTCATCATAAGTATTACTTTTTTAAAAATACCAGACTGAAGCCCTTCTTTTTGAAGAGCAAAAAAAGGAACAGCACTTTATTCCAAACTAACTACTGGCATCTTTTCCTGTAGTAAGAAAACCTAATGTTATTCCTCAAGCTTTGAAAAGGCAAAATTTTCTCCTCCCTAAGTGTTCTAAGCTTCTTCACTATTGAGCTTTGTGGGTTTTGTTTTGGTTTTGGGTTTTTTTTCTCATTGCAAAAAGAGTAAAACATAGTGGTCCAGACATTGAATACTCTGCTCACTACTGCCAAGTATAAATAAAGTTTGTTCAAGTTAGCCCTAATTGAGTAGCTTTTGTTGGCCAGAGTATTTGCATGAAGACAGATGATTCATAGTGCTTATAAAAGCAGAACTAAGATGCTAGTTCAAAAACACACTACTCCAAAGTACTGGATCAGTTATTTTGAACCCTTGCAGTAATGCATTGTTCACAAAAATAAATATGAGTTGTGGGATTTTTTTTAAAACATGGTTCCATATTAAAGAGACTACGATGAAAAATCTTACTGTTTTCTTAGTTAACATCTCAACACAATTCAGCATTAAAGTGCTAACATGAAAGAAAGGGTTTACACAGTACGTATGGGTACAGGAAATACCTCAATTACTTTAGAAGAAAGATTTCTAGCTCTTTAGAAGAAATTGTACCTTTTCAAGCTACAAATCCCCACATTTTGATCAAAATTAACATACCAGAAAACACTGCCAGCTCCTTGGAAATATCTCATTCTCTATTCAAGTAAACTTTCAGATGAATCGCTTCCACAAATCACTTGGAGCTACTAATGATTCATCTAAGTGCTACCATTTGATGACTTGGTAGAACAAGTTAACTTGTTTTCACTTTAACATTTGATTTTACAGCGATTTTAACAGTTCATTTAAAACAGGTGCAATATTTCTGCACTGAATCCTTTTTCCAGCATTTAATGCGTTTCAGTAAGATTCCGGTATTACAAACTCAAATTCAGTACTTCCCTCTGATGGATTTTGTTTAAAAATTGCTTCATTTCCCTGTGGAATGAAAATGTCATCCCAGGTAATTTGTTTGGCTGGAGGGTTAGATGTTGTTCCTTCAGTGCCATCCTTCCCTGTGCCAACACGATAAACAATTCCACCCTCATTTATTACTGGTATATTGCTTGAGTGATCAGTAATGTATGCATACTGTCTGATCTGCAAAGACCTGCAAGGATGCAATCGATAAAGCTTGGTATCTCCAGAAGGGTCTTGGCTATGAACTGATCTTATGTGGGAGGCCGTAATTTGGTAGTTGATGAAAGATTTGCCACACGTCAAGCACTGGTACCTTCGCTCACCGGTGTGGTGAATTTCATGCTTCGTACGGTATTCTGCAAGAGGAAAAACTTTGTCACAATATCGACACGGATACTTCTTCTCCCAGGAATGAACGTTAAAATGTCTCCGTAAACTCGTCAGACATGCGTATGATCTCTTACACACAATACAAATGTAGTAGACTCTTCCATCCACTATGAGCTCGTAATGGTCATCATGCTTTACTTTCATACGTTTCCTGTTTGGCGAATCACCACCAGATGTTTTAGGCGTTTCATCAAGCTTGGCTTTGCCTTCCTCGGAATCACCCTTTACAGGAATGACTATATCGTATGTATCCTCACCGATATTTGCATAAACCTTACAGCCTGTGGACAGGCCTTCTATTTCAGTTGCTGTATCTAATGTTATGATTTTCTGTCCTTCTGCCACATGCTTTGATGCTATACCTGAACTGAATTCCTTGTTGTTTCCAGCAAGGACATCCGAGATTTTTATTTTAAATTCTCCAGGTTTAGAAAATGGTTCTTGTGAAAATGTAACAACCTGTTTTTTCTGTACACCTGATCCTTCAGAGGTTGCTGCCTTGGGTATAGAAGGTTGCTGAACCAAAGAGCTACTGCTGACTGAACCAGGACTAGAGGAGCTAATGATATCGACATCATCTTCAACAACCTCTTCATCATCAACAGCAGTTGTTTCCACTTCAGTTAAGGAGCCATTATTAGATGGCTGCTGGTTCTCCTCAAGTAAATTAATTGTAGGGGTCACATGTGTTTGATGCGAGGAGCCAGCACTGAGTGATGAGTTAAGTAGAGGCTTATTTAGCACAATGATATTAGGAGTCAAATGCTGCGGTGTTGCAGAGCCAAGTGATTCGGCACTTGATTGTGTTTGGTTTGGGCTTAGCTGACCGGCAGATGAAGTGAGTTTTTGAGCTGCTGTGGTGCTCGTCAAATGGGGAGAGCCACCACTGCCACATGATTTTTGGTCAGAAACTCCAGCTGGACTTGGGCAAGGCTGGTTATGGGTTGCAGCATTTGTATCTTTAGTACATTCTTTTGGAGGAACAATCTCAGAGCAAAAAATTACATCATCATCCTCATCATCTGAATCACTCACTGTAATTTTTGTAGTCTCATATTCTATGCCATGTAAGGAGAATGATTGTGTTATAACTGGCATCCCATCCGTTACCTCTTGACTCTCTGGCCTTATTACAGGTACTTGTGTTTCAGCATCCTTTTGACCTGGACTAGAAGTTGAAGTTTCTGAAGCACCATCTTTGACCTCGCTTGGCATGTTTTTTCCTTCAGACAGAGGTACGCCCAGATCAGCTATGAATTTAACACCCAGCTGTTGCCCAGATTTAATCAGTTCATCAAGTAAATCGGATCGAATGCTGATTATTTTGGAACTATAAATATAATTAAGAATTTCTGCAAAAATTTCTGCTCTTACAAAGCTCAGTTCAACCACTTGCCCAGCGACTGAGAAAAGCTGGTGAAAATACGTGCTTGAAGCCGAAAGGATGTTTCTGTGAGCTCGAAATTTCCGGTCCTCCACGATGACAGTAACATCACAAAAAAGTCCATGGCCACGTTGTTCATTCAAAGACTGAAGGAGCACACTAGAATACTGTGTGTCTGTTGCAGAAATCAGTTTTTTCCCCTCCATTCCTACAAAGAGAAAGTAAAAGGCATCAAATTAGTAAAAATACAGATTTACGGTTTTAACTGCATGACAACATTCCCCATTTACTGTTTATTCCTTCTCATTTACTGTTTATTCCTTCTTTTGAAAAAACAAATCTGAGATACTATTCATAAGCTTATATGTTATAGCATTCTGCAGATTTGTTTCTTATTGTTATTTGTCCCTTCACCTTCTACACAAGGTATGTGCAATTCTGAATGTATCCGCTATTCTTACAAGGGGAGGAACAGAGAAACAACTGCTTATCTGATTCAACAGCAAATAAGGTAAATTTGAAAACCAAGAAGATGCAAGATTCGGGTCCCTCAAAAGGCTTTAAACATTATTAGCCATTTCTTTTTAACTGTGAAAATATTCCCTAACTTGTTATGAGAAAGCCCGATAATATCCAGGTTATTTATGGGCCAGACAACAAAATCTGTGCATCCATATATTACCAGTCAACGGAGGTTAATGAAAATGCTATTGATACTTCAATGCCTTGCCCAGAAAAAGAAACTTTTTTTCTTTTTACCCCTTCCCATATATTTGCAGGGTTGCTTTGTGTTTGAAACCGAGATACTGAGGCAGCACGGTAACAAAAAAGATCTGTGAAGTCAAACTAATCCATCTACCGGCACTTCCGATTCGATACCCCCCAACAAGACGCAGAAACCAACATCAGAAGATAGGAACAGCGAGTTAGAGGCTGTAAGTCCACTCGTAAAACTTTATTTCCACACGCCTGGGCGGGCAGGACGAGGCGAGGAGGCCGAGCCCC